AGCTGATAACATCAGTTGCTCATTGCCATTCGTTGTTGATGTGATAAACGATGTGAAAGTACATGTGAACGCTTGTTGTCCACCCGGGGTCCATGCGGACCCCAAAGTTGATAAAACAGGATTAAAAATCACTTTTAAGACATGGAACATTTTTAATAATATATTCAGATTCAGCCTCGAACGATGAATATTTTCAAAAAAAAATCAAGCATTCAGCATAAAATCTGTTGTCTTTAATTTAATTTGAAATTTGAAAAAAATTTTTAAATGCGTTAGAAAAAGTAAAATAGTTAAGGCGCCTAAATGCATTAACTTTTAAGACATACGAAGGCCTTAAAGTTTCTTTTTATTTATTTAACGTATTCAGAGACATGAAACGTCCGACATGTCAATTTTTACGCGTTCAAAGGAAATTTCTTCAATCAAAAAAAGTCCTCTGGGCGATGTCCTACTTGTTCTGTGACCTTTCCAGTTGTATCCTTAGGAGTCAGTAATATTACAAATGACATTGTACTTTCATCAAATTGGGTATTTAAGGTACAAGTATCCCCAATGTCCACTGTGGATCTGAGAGGTAGTGGTAGAATGAGAATTGAATCAATTAGCAAAAGTGGCAATCTAAAAATGTTCATGTTCTCATTGAATACTTATATCTATGGACGTAAAATTGGATTTAATGAAGTTAGTATTTCAATTGAAAAGAATGCACTGAGTTTCAGTAAGATTAATGTTTCAATTAAATGAAATTTATAAAGACTATTCACCACAACTGGACATTTATTACTAAATTGAAATGGGGAGACATTAACTTGTTTTTCAGTGACCACAATTCTCCGTTCGTTTCATTCTTATGTTTTAACTATGGAAACTTGTAGATCAATTGTATGTCTATCCATGATCACATCAAAAATATATGATGAAATATTTAGAAAGAAAATCCATTCCGCCAAAGTTGGTCCTCGTTTGCTATTCGTAGGCTCTGGACGTCACTTTCAATAAAGATAAAGAGAAGTCTCAGTGTTTAGATATACGAGCGAGAACTCAGTTTCTTCTTTAACGGAAACAAAAACGACACCGCAAGCGCCCCCAAAGGGCCTACTTTTTATCGAAAGGTCTCCTACAGAGACTTTTCGATAAAAGAGAGATGCTTCGAGGACGCCAACGAAAATCGGACCATATACCTGCTGTATGTCCTATGCGTGATCTTTATTTGATTTCTGCCAAAATCCTATCAAGTGCTTCTTTTGAGAAATCTCAGCAAGAGTCGAGGCTCTTTTTTTGAAAAAAGACCCTTCTAAAGATCTTAACTCTTGAAAGGTCTGAAGATGATCCAACTTTTGACCCAAAAGGAGTCTGAACGGCTTACATTTATCCGATAGAATACTCTACTTAGGCAACAGAGGAAAAGGTAAAACATGTGTATGCACAAGGATAAAAGAACGAAAATAGAAGCAGATTGATTGCACCTGGTAAGGAGACGAAATGAAAATAGAGAGAAACAGAGAAATGTAAAAACATAATGAGAAGAACGATGCCTACCACTGCTATCTCGCTCATAGTAAAATAACACCTGTTTTGAGAAGAACGAGGTGAAATTGATCCACAGGCACATTTTTGTTCTTTCTTATCAATAGTCAAATATAGGACCGTTCTGACTGAAATAATAAAGAATGTATTAATCTCTTTAATCGATTAGACTCTTTACTTTGGAGTTAAAAATATTAAAAAATAAAATATATATTGAATACAAATAGTGTGTTTGGGTAGAGCGCAACAGTAGGACAAATTAAAAAAAGGTTTGGAAGCAAGTAAACTCTTCAACAGATAGAAATACAATTTTCTAAAATAATCTCTTATATTCAACCTAACGATCCACTTCAGTTATTTTATAGCATAAGTGATGTCTCTGCCATCGTCAACTTTGGATTTTGTTAAACAGATGGATAGTGATTTTGAAAAGGATTATAAGGATGGAAATATTGATAAATTAGTTAAAACTTATACTGAAGACGCTAAAATCATTGGATACGATAATCAACAATGGATCGGACGCGAACAGATCAGACAGTATCTTCAGGGTGACACGAAAGGAAATGTTCAAACTATCAGTGTACAGAATCAAACTATTCATCGGATCAACGATGAACTATTTCTTGAACTCTGGTGAGTTTAGTGCCGCTAGAAAGGACTTGAATTTCGTAAGAAAAGCAGAGCTAGATGATTTTCACATTTTGTCTCTATTCATATTTAGTCATTATCAACTGGATACTGATAGTACACCGAAAAATGGTTATACGATTTGGAAGAAAAGTTCATCTACTAGTGGTGGTGGTCCAGAATGGCTACGTCACATTGATGTAATAGCTTAGGTGTAAATTTACATTCTTTTGTACACTACAGCATTATCACGTTTAAAATTATGTCCGTTTTTCTTTCATAGAGTTCTAAGCCGTTCGACATTTGTAATTTTTGAAAACATTTAATAAATTCAACTTTTAACTTTTACTCCTTCCTTTATAGAATTCTTTCTGCTTAACTGGTGTCACATGTGTGCTATTTTTCTTTTTTGATGGACCTTCTGAAATGGACCTTCAATGTTGACCCGTTGTTTTGCATTTTTTTATTTGACAACTAAAATCTCAGCTTGTCCTCTTTAGAGTAGCATTCTTCTTTCGATGACAAAAATGAAATGTAGTCTACCTTTTCCAGCATCGGCTCAAGTTTGGGTTCGGGTTCGAGTTCTAGTTCTGGTGTTATTCAATAGATACTTACAGTGCGGAGTATCTAGGTGGTTGTCTTATAGTTTTTGGAGGTGTATAAGAGATTTTAGAATCATCCTAAGGTTCGGCTAAATTCGCGTTCGAGTGCGGATATTTTGGAACATGTTGAAAATTTCACTATGAAGTCTATTGATGTTTAGTTTTGGATAATTTTTCCCATGATGCTTAGGCGTTTCGTAATCAGTCGCGAAACTAATTCTTTGGACTTACTACTGCTTGCTTCTGGAAGGGAACTAAAAGTGGCTGGACGGAGCAACGAACCCAAACCCGAACTTATCGAATGCGGACGTTCAGGTTTGATGCATGCCTAAAACATAGTCTTAAGGTATCGTATCGCAATCTTTTCATTCTGCTTTTAAATCACTGTTACAAAGTGGCATGCTATGATTTAAGCTGATAAGTATTCTTACTCTCTCCGTCTCTTCTGACTACTCCAAAACCGGTTTCAATTGCTGCATTTATTAAGAAGGACGGCCTGTTGACGTTAAAGTAAGCAAATATGTCTTCGTTGTGTATTCTTTTTCTGTCAGCACAGATAAGAAATTCGAAGCAGTCCACACTAACATTTTGATTCAAACCAAGCGGCGCATTTCACAGTATTTTATTATAGATTACAGACAAAAGGAGAAACAAGACATAAAACTACAGGTGCAAAAACAAAGGTTAAAAGATACCAGTTAAAGGTGAAAAGTATTTATGCCAACTTAGAGTGAGTTCTGAGAGAGAGGATTACAAAACTTTCTCACCTAAATAGTGTATTGCTTTGTCCCGATAATCAGGCCATCTTGAATTTATGATATGCTTTTAAACAGTGTTTTACAACGAATTTATGTACTTGCTATTCTGAATGATCTTGGTTCGTGTAAATTATATTTGTTGTCGATGATGACGATGATGATAGTTGATGATGATGGTTCAGCTTTATCCACAATACTATTTGTTATGATTTTTTGTATAAGCTACTTTCTCTTGTTCAGTTTTTTGATCGGTGATAGAAATTCATCATCACTGATCCGTTCAAATGTATCTTGCTCACCATAAAATTCATTGGTTTCTATTTCTTTACTGTCGGCATTGTTTTGAGCAAATTGCATCTTCTTCGTTTCACAGTTTTCTTTTCATCCTAGAATTATGACTGTTTTACGGGTAACTACTGCGCAAGACGTCATGATTGAGCTTCAAGTCTGGGATCGATTTTTCTGAGTGAGTGTTTAGGACTTTTTGCTAAAAGATTAACGGATCAGACCAGGCTTGAGGAAATACAGAAAAAAGTTAGCGTGTTATTTGGGTTATTCGGTGAAAGTTTGAGGTTTTTATGCAGGTTTTGTCCAAAACGTGTACGTTATTATCATTTCTATGAGTTCTCACGTCAAAGGAAAATGTTCAGAAATCAGTTTCACTTGATTAGTTTTTGAACAATAAAAAGATGATTGGTAGATTAAAAAATAACATAATTTCGATGCGAATTAATTCCGATTCTTATTTAATCGTCTGAATATTTATTAATCTATTAAGAAGTCCCATTTTAGAGAGTTCGTGAAAACATTAACAAAAGAATGAAAATAAAAAAGCAAACACGACTAGATGAAAATAAGTGTTATGTAGCCTAATGTTAGGTAGAATAAAAATCAGAGACAAAAGATGCCTTGTGAAAGATTCGTTGATTTTTCATTTTACTCTGAGCAGGAGACAACAACGGCGCTGTACGTAGAAGAAATAATGGATAGCAGATAAAAGAATAAGGTGAAAACATTTATATTCATTTACTGTAGTCTTATTTTGAAATATGTGTTGCCTGATTTATAATGACTCTTAATATGCCCATGAACTAAAATAATAGCAAAATATATGGATTTTGCTCGAGAAGAACCACATGCATATAAACAACCGCAACAGTAATAACTATGAGTCACAGATTTTAGATTAAATCGAAAGCTTACCTATTAGACTGCTTTAGGTCTTTGACGCGGGCTCTGGAAAACCATTGTTGGATTTCATAGCCCAAACTACTCTATCTATAATACGTGACTTCTTTTCAGCATTTTCTGAAAATTTCATGTAGTTTCGATTGAAAGCGAGTGAGTTATGAGGTTTTTCATTTTACATGTACATAGAGGAAAAAGTGGATTTTCTAAAAAAATGCTCATTCGATGCTGTATTAATATTGGAAACATTAGGATTTGATACGAAGGTGATCAACGTGCGACAATAGAATATTCCCTCTTACAGCTTCCAGAGCGCCTGTTATCCATGAGTAATCTTTGTCTAACGAGAAGGACAATTCTTTGATTCTTAAAATCATCATTTTGTACTCCTTGCACTCGCATTGGAGTTACTAATTGATTAAATACTTGGCCATTGATATATTAGATAGATTGAATGCCAATGAATTTGAACCTGTTTGATCATATAATAAAATATTTCTGGCTCTCTAACAGTACTAACCATCAGGATCATTTAGCTTTTCCTGTAACCACGTATTGTTACTACACTGTAATTTGGAATTATTTTCTACTTTACAGAAAATCGATCTGGAAAATCGCCAAGGATTTTCCAACTTTTATAAAATCCTCAGCGATTTTCTGACTGTTTAGAAAATGTTGATTTTCTGCTTTATAGAAAATCGAGTCGATTTTCTATAAATTGA